ATTTCTCATAATTTACAAATAGTAATTCTATCTTACTTCATCTACAATGTTGGTGGTAAAAAATAAATGGTTGATGAAATCCTAACTAACGAATGCCATGTTATTTGCTATGCAGTCCTTCGGCGACGAGTAACTATATGGCAGTCAGACTTTTTAGAGTGGAATTAAAATGACTTGTAAGGTTGTGGGCACAAAGAGGAATGCCTGCTCTGCTCTGTGCCCCGGCAGTCACCAAGAATAATTCGCGAAAACATCGTCAAATCTACAATTTCCACGTTCAGAAAAATTAAAAGTATCGATTTTGTTGGGTTTTCCCCATTATTTTGGCAGCAGTGGGGCCCGCGGGCAGTCGCTGCCTAGGGCTTTGGCGGCTCACGCCGCGCAGGTACGATGAGGCCTTGGACAGGAATGTGCGTCTCGCCTTATCTGGCGACCGCCGATGATACCGAATAAGAACCGACCGAATAACTCCGCGCCACGCCCGTCACAGAAAGGAGACGAAAACACGCGCTGTATGATTTTTAGAATGTTGGGTTCTGAATTTAACGTTGTTTGTTTTTGTGTTTGTCGAGAGCATTTATCCGAATCGCATCGACGTTAACGCACAATAGCGGCAAGGCTCTTTTAGCGGCGCTGCGGCCCCATCCGACCCCGCGGAGCGGCGTGGCGTGGCGGTTCGGGGCAGGCGGCAGGCACCGCTTGTTCGCCGCGAGGACGACGGCAGAGAATTCGACCTGGAATTCGACGTCTACTGTCTAAACTGCAGCAGCAGCGGCAGCGCGGCGAGCAGAGCCGTGAGCAGCCAGGCCGCGTGCAGCGCGCCGGCGGCGCTCCAGCAGCCCACCCGCTCCAGGATCACCGTGTACTTGAGCATGTCGGGGAAGCGACACGCCTCCTCTGCAACGAGAAACGAGGGAGGTTAGGATCGCTTGCGCTGCGTTGGGTTTTGAACTCGCCGTGGCCGCAGCCACCCATGGCGCCATGACTGACCGTTGCAGCGCATCTCGACGGCCTGCGTCGCCTGGCCGGCGGACACGGCCAGGTAGAGCGGCGCGCAGTCCCGGACGAGCGACGCGTCCGTGCAGAGGTTGGCGAGCTTGATCTCCACGTTGCCGGTGCTGAGCTGCTGGCAGGTTCCCGCCGACGAGTCCGCCTGCGACGCGTACGAGTTCTGGGTGCCGTTCATGGTGGGCAGCGTGCGCGAGTAGCACACGGTGAGCGTGCCGTAGCCCTGGCCCTGCACGCGCACGCGCGCGTAGTCGTCCTTCGTGCGGTAGAAGTTGTTGGGCGCGAGGCGGTAGTAGTTGACGCCGAGCGGCTCCACGTAGTCGATGAACTCGAGGTTGCCCGAGCCGTCCTCGGCCCAGTCCGCGTCGCAGTTGGCGTTCCGGATTCGCCGCGGGACTGTGACAAGGAGGACGAGGTTGGAATGTTCGCAGCACGTCTCGGACTTTGATCTCAAAACGTCACAAATTCCGGAGGGACGCTACTAAATGCGTGTCGGTGGACTCACCAGCCTTGATCCTCTCGACGAGCGGCCTGATGGCGCTGGCCGGGTCCGTGACGGTGAACGTGAACACGTTGAGGTTCGTGTCGTTGGTGAGCACGCCGAAGGAGTTCTTGTTGCCCGAGGTGAGCACGAGCGTGTCCACGTCCGGGTACAGCTGGCGGTAGTTGTCGAAGCGGGTGTAGAAGCGGCTCTGGTCGTAGCTGCCGAGCGCGGGCGTGAGGTACAGCACGGCCTGGCCGCGGCCCGCGACCACGCGCCGCCGGTGGAAGTCGGTGTCGTGCTGCCGGAGGTACGACAGGGTGGCGCCCAGAGCGACCTGCAGGTCGAAGCCGTTGGCCTTCGCTCGCGCTGCACACACAGACACACATTCGCATGTCAGTGTCGGTCTCATTCAAAATCTCAAAGTTATATTGAAAGTTATTCAAATTTGAAAAAGCACACTCCTAAATTATTCTAAAGGTAATTGCGAAAAATGCTTGAAATTAAAAGTCGCGCTTTTGTGCCCTTACCGTCCGAGTAGGCATCTGCATTGAAGGTGCTCCACTCCAGGCGAGGGTAGCTCGAGTTGAACAGCAAGCTGCCGTCCTTGCCGTTGAGGATCATCACGCGGCTGCCGTACTGCCCGGCGTCCACCTTGTCAAGCAGGTACCTGGCGGCCGAGCAAGAGACTTTAGACCGCCTGGTCCAGAGTGCAGATCCCCTGCGAATACGTGATAGGCCGCCCAGCCGTGCACGCGAGTGCGACGGGACTGCCTAACCTCCAGGCGCCCCCGGGAGACTCCCCCC